AAAAAAAAGAGACCAAATATATGAGAATCAAAGGGAAATACAATGACGATGAACGGATGACGAGTATAAGAATTTGAGAAATCATGGGATCAATTTTTGATTCAACGAATATCGCTATTGAAGCTTGTTCTAACACTCCTCCTCCTCCTCCTCATCCTCCACACCTTTTTAATCCAACGTTGTTACTATTCAACGATCTTGATAATGTTTACGTCGCTTGTCAGTCCTTTGTGTAGAATATCGTTCTCGATTTGACACGTTGTACAGGATGCCAAAGGATATAACTGACAAAGTAGACATTTCCTAATAACACCGTTCGTTTGACGAATCAAAGCGATTAAAGTGATTGATATCAAAGATCTATATGATCCAATGGATCATCATAGCTTTTGATAACGCAAATACATATGTACATATCAATATGGGTATTTGAACGTGTGTGTGTGTGTGTTTGTGTGTGATACGCATTAACGAATGTTAAGAATATAAATCTAAATAATTATTCGATAGATACGATTTTGATTAGTATTTAGATCTACAATTTCTAAACATAGATTAGAATTTCTTTGACAGATAAGATATTAGTGTCACCCCGTCGAATTAATCCAACGTTGAAATCGTTCTAATTTACAAACATCTTCTTCTTCCACTCTCTTTCTCTCTCTCTCTCTTTCTCTCTCGTGTACGATTGGAAGATACGAGAGCTGACTTTTAATCAAAAGAGTAATTCAAACCGTTCGGGGGATATCAAAGTGATCGCTAATCAGCCATTAGAATTCCATTTGCCCTTGAGTCAGCTTGCGCGTCGTCACTAATTGCTACGAGAAAGAGGAACTTATCGAGGAAAAGCTAGCTAAGGAGATAAAGATAGAGAGAAAGGGATAAAAATAGAGAATGAAAAAGATAGAGAGAGAGAGAAAGTAGAAAAAGAAAAAGAAGTAGATGCTTCGAGTGCAATTTTCGAGATAGAAACGTGTCCTCTGAACCTTTTCTACGACTTTTTCTCTATTCCCCATATACAATAGAGAAATGAGAAATGAAAATTCTAAGAAAATAAAAGAAAGATAAAAATTGAGAAAGAGAGAGAGAAAGAGAGATAGGGAAAGATATTAAAAAAATAATATTAAAAAATAAGATAACACATTTTCTTTCTATATATATTCTATATTTTATTCTCTAGATATATATTTATTTAAAAGAATATAAATAAATAAATATATTAGTATCTCTTTTTACAACGACAGAAGTACAATATATATATATATATATTTCACTCTCTCATCTTTTTTATTATGCATTAAAAGGGATAGACGAGGGAAAAAGAAAAAGCGAAAAAAAAAATAGAGAAACGAAATAAGACGAGTGCAACTACTCGCGGTTTAATTAAACTTTCTTCGACATCTTTTCGCGTAACTCTCGGAAATGTGCGTTGCATTCGTAGCACAGGGTAAACTTTAACCTCTCCACTCTGCTCCAACCCTACCACCCCTTTTCCTCTTCATACCAATCTATCTTTTTCTTTCTCTCTCTTTCTTTCATTCAATTTTTTTTCCCTTCAACTCGGTGTTTCCTTTCACGACGACGAAAACGACGAGGAAAACGACGAGGAAAACGACGACGAATCTCACAAAGTTTTTTTCCTTTACGACGACGAAATAGTTCTATCCCCGTTTCGTTCTCTTATTCGTATCACTTTTTCTATATAAAACGGATCCGAGCACGATACCAATTAAATGGAATGATCAGGGAAGAATATTTGAACGAATGAAATTAATCAAAAGGTAGAGAGAAAAAAAGAGAGAGAAAGAGAGAGAAACGAAGAGAGATGAAATGAGACGAGTTTGTTCTTTCTTTTCTTTTTTATTTTTTTCTGTCTCTCGATGATCGAATTGTTCAATAAAACAGTATGGTTATCCTCGAGTATATAGAGAAGGAGGAGAAAAAGGAGGTGATACTAGACGAGAAGAGTTTATTATACCGTTGGCGTGTGTTGAGTGCTACTACGAAATGAAATTGAATTTGGCCGAATGAATTATCGCGTAGGAAAAATGTCACCGTTATCCGAAATATATGGGTCCGTTTGTGTGGTTTTCACGGTTCCTACGAATTATCGACTGGAACAGAGAAAATCAGAATGAGAGAGAGAGAATGAAAGAGAGAAAGAGACAGACAGATATATAGATAGATAGAGAAAGAAAGAAAGAAAGAGAGATAGAGAGAGAGAGAGAGAGAAATTATCCCGTTAACTTGAATCGCAACTATTGCGACGAATCTCATCTGCTGAAGCGACCAAACGAAGATTGGAAGTAAATCGAGATTAATTGAAATCTCGAGTCCGACAGTTCCAAGCGTAGTTCGATCGATTTTATCTTCTCTTACACGTATCTCTAACTACCCTACGTACGTTTCTAACATCCATACCACCCACCCACCCCACCCCATTTACCTACCTACCTATCTATCCTTAAGTGCCAAAATTTCTCTTATCCTTTTCCAAACAGCCCACCTTTCTTCCTCTTCCCCCTCCTTCCCTTCCTTACTCTATATATATATATATCTTCCTTACCAAGTAGTTTATTTCTTATTCGATAATTAATAGTACGCGTATTATGATTAATATCGTTTGTTGCGGTGAACGGTATAAGCTTAACACGAACGTAGATAGGATGCATATATATATATATCAACCCACCCCCCTTTTAGTTCGTGGCAGAAACTTCTCTAATTGTTTCCCCAAAGAGAAATTATGATCTCTTTACACGTTGACTTAAATATATTATACATAGTTAAAGTATATTCTTGATATAATATTTAATAATTAATAAAAATATATATTATGTCTATGTGTGTGTGTGTATTCGTGAACGATATCATTAACAATTAATTGTTTCGTACGCGTAAAATAATTTTGTCTTTCTTTAATAATTAATGGTAAACGATAATTAATATGACGTGTTGATTGTCAACTATTAAGAAGATAAATTTTCCTCGTTACGTATCATTTATTATACCAAACTAACGAAGTTAATCGTGCTTGATCGCGGATTAAAACTATTAGGTAGTTTGGTGTATCTCGTTAAAACGTGACAAACACTCACACACCCCTATCCACCCACCCCCACCCTTGTTGTCTGATCTTATATAGTTATAATCGTCGTCATTGTCGTCGTTCAGACGAATTTTCTCAAATGTATCATAGTATTGCAAAATTTTATTAAAAATTTATAACAGAAGTTTAACCCGATGCAAACAACAACTAACACTTTCAATGGTGGTACCGAAAATACACGTTCGTAAGTTAAATGACGGTATCGGCAACGTTTGTTTGTTTGCCGTATGATGATCATTAACATCTACGAAATAAGTGTTGCTATAGGTTTTTTTTAAATCTGATTAATTTAAACACATATGGATAACATATGGATCTCTAATATAAAATTTATTACTATTAGGGGGAAGGGTGAGGTTGGGGTTGGTGAGAGGTTTAAGAGAAAAAACTCATTTTAATAATTGTAACACCATTGGCAAATTATCTATTCTAATTTTTGTTCCTTTTTCTTTTTCTTTTTCTTATACGATTAAGAACGATCTATCAACAAATAATAATAATAATAATAATAATAATATGCCTTAAAACAACGAATAATAAATGAATTATCAAAATTTGCTTTAATTTGAATGAAAAAGAAAAACAAAAAATCGTAGACTAAAATTTGTGGACAATTGCAAACACATTACACAAACGTTTACATTAACAATAATAGGAGATAGAAAAAGAGAGAGAGAGAGAGAGGKGGGGKGGGGGGGGGATGAAAAAGAAAGGTAGAAAGAAAGAGAGAATGTTTAGCAGCTAGAATAGAATGGTTTTATTCGCTTTTCCTTTCGACCAAATAGATTTCTTCGGATGAACGAAAGAGAAGAGAGGAGGAACGGATATAATCGTGACTCACCGAAAAGAGCCTTTGCAGTTTTCTCGTCCACCAAGTGATTTCGAGGGGCATTCGAGTCGATTCGAAACGATCAAACGAGCAGGTACTCGGTGAAACGGTTTTCTCCATTTTCCACATCCTATCCTCCCTCCCTCCCTCCCTCCCACCTACTTTTATACCACCTACCTTTGTTCTAACTACTATCGAGAACGCAATTTTTCTCAGGGACTTTCTTTCCCAACTTTTCCCCGAATTGTCACGAGTCCCTTTTTAGCTTTCTTTCTTTTTTTTTTTTTTCTTTTTTTCTTTTTTCTCCTTTTCTCTTTCTCTCTTTCTCTCTTTCCTTTCGAATTAAGGCTCTACACCATTGGGAATTATACCGACGACATATTTTTTCTTTTTTTAATTATTTTTCTCTCTTTCTCTCCCTCTCTCTCCTCTCCTCTTATATTTCTTTCTCTCTTTTTCCTTTCTCGTTGGCAGACTTCGTGTCTCAAATCGACAATTCGGGTCGTTTCTCGAGGTAAGTTCGTCGCCAAAAGCATTCGAAAAATTGACACGCTCTATTACTTCACCGAAGAAAGCTAACGACTGATAATCCGACTCTTTCATCAATCTTACGATTTTTACTTTCATCAAATATCTTCTTTCGACGATTTTTGAAAAAAAAAAAAAGACAGGATTATAAAATCGATCGCGTTAACGACTTCCACTTTTTGTTGTTGTTGTTGTTTTTTGATCTATCATCGTGATACTATGATATGAAAAAATGATATTCGAATTATTTCATTAGAGATCATTTTATTCTACGGGGTTAAAATTTTAACGTTATTTCTGTTGAAAATTCTAGAGAGAGACTCACGGTTAGTACTTGATAATTAATTAAAATGGTGTTGGATAAGTTGGATTATTTGGACCAGGCAATAGGTATGTATATATATATATGTAGATACGTTAATATGTACAAACATATATAAATAGGTATGTATAACAAACACTTTATAAAAACACGCTTGCCAGGATGCGACACACGATGACCATGATGAATTTGATGATTATTATTATAGATACCTATCAAAGGGACAGCGTCCGAGGTTGTCGGCATGCTTTCTGCCACGAGGTTCAGGAAAACTGTCAGCGACAGCAGAATCGTCACTCCTACATAGACAGGTTGAAAAATAATAATCCTTATGTATAATATATATACACAAATATTACTCATTTTTTTGTCGGAGATATTTTATTTCTGACATTGTTTTCATTTATATATAAATTAATAATATTAAATTGTTGAGAAGAAAATATTTCTTTTCTAAATAAAAAGTAATACGAGAACACACGTGAAGATTTTTCTTTCGTTGATCTTAACATTGGCGAACTGTTAACTTTGAGAACTTTGAACTAACACTGTTTGATGAGACCCACCCTACTAACCCAAGTAAACCCAAAACTACCTGAATTAGTCAATTTTGCATAATATATTTTTTACTTTAAATTTGTTATTTCAATTATTTTGATTTGCATGTTTTGTCTTCTTACCACGAAGGTGAGGAGGTAAAGAATCGTCGTCTTCTGTTCGTTTGTGAAAATTGCAGTTTTAACGATTAACAAAGATCACTTTTAATCGTTGTTTTATTTGCGAAAGATGAATTTCGACTGAAATTAATGTTCGGCGTGTATCATTGAATAAACTTTTGTGCTTTGCGTGAATAGAACACTTAATTATTTATTAATAATCGTTGCTTACTTTACTTTTGGAAAAGTATTGTAGTTTGACTAGCTTGAAACAACTTTTCTTTATTTCTTTTTGTTTTTCTTAGAAAATCCTTAAGACCTTACACGTAACTCCTAGTCGACTTATTTCGTCGGAGAAAAATTTCCGGCGTGAAAATTTCATTCCACGGTTGTACTTCGGGATTCATAAGGAGTCACTTGATAACAGTTTCAAAAGTACTATCGTTAAAAGCATACTTCGAGTGCCGGAAATTCGTTCGAAAGATTTCTATACGTTTTACCGTCCAGTTTTTTTTTTCAGACGGGGAAACGGTAACCATTCCCTTGAGAAAGGAAAAGAAAGGAAAAGAGGAAGGAGCGAATGGGAGTGAAGGGGGAGTGGTGGGGGAGGGGGAGGAGGGTGGAGGGAAGGGCGACGAGAAAAAGAAAGGCAAAGAAAATGTTTTTCCCCTCGAAATTATGATTTCCAAGAATTTATCGTTAACTTCCGAATAATTTAACGAAGAAAGTATAGCTTGGTTAACGATCGTAACGTCGGGCGAGTAGAAAGAAAAAAAAAGGAAAAAAAAAAAAAAATAGGAAAAAGAAATTATTACATCGCGAAAATAAAGCGGCGGGATACTTTTTGAGCGAATAATAATTGAAGAGAATTTGCAGGTTGTACAAAAAAAAAAATATGATAAAAAGAAAATATATATATATGTATACAGCAGAGAGAGAAACGTTTTCGTATCTGGTATCGTTATGATTGGTAAATTTTTCAACGAATATGTACGAAGAGAATGGAAACGAACGCGAATGAACGGGACCGAATTTTCATTCAAACGTAAACAACATTTGGACATATATATATATATATTTTGTGTTATTATTTTTGGTTTTTTTTTTCGTTGTATTCGTTGTTTTTCTTTTTATCAGTTGGAAACGCCATTTGTTTTTGTTTTAGCCGAAGCTTGGAAAATGCGAAGCTTCGTTATCGTTCATTTATTTTTGACAGCAGCTATCATCCATTTTCTCTGAATTTTAATCGGTGATAGGGGCATTTTTATTGGACATCAATAAATTCGATTGATTCAACTGGATCGATTTATCGAACGTTTATTCGACAATCTCGATCGATCATCGATCCGTTATCCATAACGATTCACGATTCTAGATTATATTGTATCTTTTCGTTAACCTTAAAGCTTTAAATGAGCTTTAAAACATCGACTATGTTCAGTACACCAGAATGATCGTTCGAATGGATAAGAGTTCGTTCGAAGGCCGCATTTCGAAAGAGATCTTCCCTGTTAGAAACCACGACAAGCAGCACCCGCCTGCTAGTGGCAAACCGCCAATAAGATCGACGATTTTACCGGGCAGAAGGTAACTCAGCTGCTTTTCGAGAATTAAACGGTGGATACAAAAGGAAAGAGAGAGTGAGAGAGAGAGAGAGAGAGAGAGAGAGAGAGAGAGAGAGAGAGAATTACTACCTTACAATTAATCCTAAACCTTCGCGTACAATCGAGATACGTCGTGTCTCGTGGCGAAGGAAACAAAAAAAAAAGAAAAAAAAAGAAAATCATTAAAATTTGAATCGATCGCGCGTTTCTTTTCATCTTTATTGGAAATATAATTTTTAATTATAATACAAATATATATTTTCTTTTGTTTATTATCGATCACAACTTTTCTTTCGCTTTTTTTTTTGTTTTTTTTTTTAATTATTTTATAATCAAATAGGATCGTAATAATATTATCAATCGAAATAAATGATTAAAACACGTATATACGAATGATTTTAATTAAAAATTTTGACTGACTCGTATATTGTCAATAATCCTATAAGAATTATTATCCTATGGTAGTGTATCTTTATCTCTTATTTCCACTTTACTATCTTGTCCGCAACGAATTAACCAAAAGTAACAAATCAAATTTACGGTGTACGCAGCCAATTTAGGGGTGTCAGACATTTTATAAATGCCCGACCACGTATACACGCCTTTCGCGTATTTCTACGTTGATAATATACACGAGATAATTTAATTTTATTCAAAAGCTCGACACGAACGGGAACAATTTAAAATCAACCCTCCCCTTTTCTCTGCTCACCCCTTATTCCCGCCCTCATCCTTTATTCCTACCTTCCCTCTCTCATCATCATCCATCCCGTTCGTAAATTTACTTTCCCTCATCGAATTCGTTCTTCTCGCGGGGAAAAAACGTATTTCGAATATTTTCGAATTTTCCAAGAGAACGGGAACCATCTGGCAAAAGGAAACGTTACTTTTTTTTTTTTATTTTTCCATAATATATATATATATATATATTTGCGCGTGTCGGTGTATAAGTGTTTCTATATATTCTGTATTTCCGTCACGAAGTCCTTTCCATCGTATTTTGAACTCTGTCACTCTTTTCCCGACTACCATATTTTAAATGGGAAAAACGAAAGAACGAACGAACGGTTCGTTCGTTCGTTCGTTTGTCGTTACTTTTTATTTTCCCCGCTCAGTGCAACTGAAAATTTTTCATTTTTCACGAGAATGAGAATGTTACAAAATTAATAAATAAAACTAAAAGTGGTTGGTAACGTCGAGAAATGAGAACCAACGACGCGGTAATTTATATTTAAAATTTCCCTTTCTTTTTTCTTTTTCTTTTTTTTTTTGTTTTTTTTTCTTACGCTACTATCTCGTTTCTCTCTTCTTCTTTACGAACGAAAGAGAAGAGGGAAGAAAAAATAGAATATATAAAATAAATAATATTAAAAGTTTCGAAAGGAAAAAAAAAGGAAAAAAATTAACTTATTGTATCGCGTACGCACTATAATTCTGTCTCGTTGCAAATTAAACAAAATTCTCGTCGCATCAAGAAAGAATTAAAAAGAGAGAGAGAGAGAGAAAAGATAAGTCCTGAAGATACTTACACGTATAAACAATATTCAATCTATTTACGATTAAGCATAATTGCGACGAAAGTTAACGTAAGTTAATATTTATTAACGAAACAATTAAGTTTAATGAATCAGCTGATTCAAAATGAAGGATCACGGATATAAAACTATGAACAACAAGTCACGAATGAAATATTATTAACCACGATATTATTCAAATGATCATTTCCTCAAAAAATCTGATACTCGGTAATAAAAAATTGAACTGTTGCGTTATGATCTTTCGCTAAATGTGTAAATTCATTGCAGAAGGAAATAAGAGAGATAGATAGACAGACAGATAAATGAATCTCAATGGAACCGTTGTACTTTCGACGAAGGATCACTTAATCTCAATTGACTGGACGATTAATCTCCCTTTCTCTTGAGTCAAGCAGTAGTGCGTACGTCCTACCGTAAATCTTCCTTATAAAGTAAATAATATCCATGAACGTTAAATCAGAGCATAGTAAATGCTATATAATCGATTTAGGATATTTATCAATTCAATTTTCATTAGATAAATATATTATCGTAAAAAACTGAAATTAGAGAATGTCAAGATTCGCATGATCGCTTAGTGTACATCCAAAATATTCATCTGGAAGAATAAAACCAAAATATTCGGCCTTTCACACTGTTAACAAACGACCACGTGAATCTTGACATTTTCCAATTTCGGTTATTCACGATATAACAGTTATACATTTATATTACGAATAAGCATAGTTATTATACTACATCGAAATATCGATGTAAACAAAATCTTTGATGTAGTATACAATACGCAAAATGATATAATAATAATAATAATAATAACAACAACAACGATTGCTTTTCATTGTATATGCATATTTAAATAAAAAAAAGAAAATAAATAAAAATAAAAAAGATATATATATAAAAATAATGTATACAGAATGATGCTCGATAATTTTAACATCTGGAACGGATAGCAACCACCACTAACAGAGGGAGAGCAATAAATCAATTCGTTTCACGGATCATTTAGAAGTGGCCAGTGGGATCATAGTCGTGGAAGCCACTCAGAAACGAGCGAGCGTATTAATCGTGCCAAGGTGAAAGACGATGTACACGAGTTGTGTGTCAAGGTGGGGGGAGGAGGGGGTGAGAACTAGCTAGATAGCTAGCTAGCTGCTGGTGGTAGTGGTGGTGAATGTGGTGAAAGTCAGTTGGTGGTGGTGGTGGTTGAGGTGAACTCCAAAGTGGAAGGGTGGAGGGTTGAAAACGAAGCTAGCGAATATAACACGAACGCACGTACGAGCGCACACACACACACACAAACGATCCCTTTGTCATGCTAATATTCGATCAAATACACGCTAGCCTTTTCTTCCCTCTTGATAAAAGAAATAAGAAGAAAGAGGGTAAATATAAGTGTATATGTGTGTGTGTGTGTGAGTGAGTGAGAGAGAGAAGGTTGGAAAAGCTTGGATACATCTTATGGATAACAACCCGTTGCATTTTTCCCTCCTATTTATCC